ATATTTTGAAAAAATAAAAGAGTGACACTCCGAGAAAGGTGATACACCTTTGATATTTAAGGAAACTCGGTTTGCAAAGAAATTAAAATTAGTTTCTAAATGTACTAATATGTTTGATGAGAAGAAAAATTATAATACTAATCCTAAATGTACTAATATGCTTGATGAGAAGGAAAATTATAATACTGATCAGTCAAACTATAAGAAATCTGATAGAGTAGGTCAAAGAAAATTAATATTAAATTCTTCAAAAAGACTTCTAAAAATTGAGTTTTAGAAACCTCTTTTAGAACGTGAGAAGGTTGATTAATGATTAATTTTTTAAAAAGCTAAAGAATGTCTGTTTTAGGTATATAAAGTTGAAAATTTAAAATGATTTTTGTGAGTAAATAATTGATGCATTTTTAATCGTCAATAATTTTTACATGCTTTTTTGTAATTATATGTGTTTACAATATAATTTGATCATGATATCTCTCATGTCTTTCTTTTTTTCTTTCCTTTTTTTCTAATAATATTTTCATGTTGATTTCGGTTTTCGTTTCTCTCCAAAACTCTGATCATATGTTTTTTTAAACGTGTGAATCTTCCCTGCTCTCTTCACCACCCAGCACCTCCGTCCCCGCCTCATCTCGTTCTCCATCACTATGTCCCCCCTTTTGTTCTCCTTCCTCTCACTCACGCTCCCATTGATGTGGTGAGTGAAGCACTAAAGTAAGTGTTCGTTCCTAATCCATTTTGTTCATAGGCTCATTCGCAGATCGGCTAAGATGAGTTCGCTTATTGTACCACCTTGTGCCAAAACCCTTTTCAAGACACTTTTCGGGTTACGATCCTTCTTCTTGCACTTTAGAAAATCCAAGTTCTCAGAGTGGCACCGGATCCCAATGTGCTTCCGTGATGCCATCAACACCGACGACGATGGGATTGGATTTCCCGAGGCATCTACCGCGCTCGCCATGTGCTGTTCGATACTTGTTAGCCACAACAAAAAAGAGAAAACGCAATTCGATCAGTGTCGTTAAGTTCCTGAAAAAACGAAAGTAAATTACTGAGAAAATGGGGGCAAAGAGAAAATGGAGAACGGAAAGATATTTACGACATTGCCCTTACCCGTGGTTGTTGGAAAGCGGTGGTTCTGGTAAGGAAAGTTTCCCATATCCTGCAAAATCCACAAATTTTATTTACCTAATACTAGTGTTACTCATCCGCGTTGGAAAACACAGAAAAGAAAAATATTTTTATACACGAAATTTCAGTTTTAGTTACAGAGTCAACAACAAAACATATTCATAAGAAATTTTGAATTATCCCTTGACACTTATTTTCAGTGGAATCTAATGCAGATTCTTCCATTGCATGCACAACAATCACCATATTCTAGTTGTTTCAAATTCAGAGAAACAAAGTGAAACTTCTCAGTTTCACTACTGCCAGAAGCTCGTGCCTCTGCCTTTGAAAACTCAAGTTCAACAAAGTAAACCAAAATCGAAAACATGGTTTTTTTTATCAATGCTGTTTTGATTACTTTCCTTTGTTTTATACATTCAATTGAAAATGAAGCTTAAGAGTTGCTGCATTGTGACCTAAATAAAGGTCACAGTTCAAATCTTTGAAAAAGGTTCTCTGTTTGTGTGGGATAAGGATGTGTATATCTACATTATTCAAACCATAGTTAGTGGTAGCATCATAAAAATTACTCAGTTGATGTCTAAGCTATTTATGAATTTTGAAAGTAGGTTCTTACAGTAAAAAAAGACTCAATAATTTGTCACTTTAAAGTTGGTGTCCCAATAATAACTTATTTTACTCTCATGAACGTTGGAAATAAAACCATCCACCAAGCAAATCCATCATCATCCATTAAACTCAAAACCCAACCCAAATTCAACAACAGAAAAAAAAAGAGCTTTTTTCCCTAAACCAGACAGTAAAACCAAAAGGGAAAGAACCTTGATTCTGAAATACTGCTTCCATAGTGCTAGTTGCGCTTAATAAGGATGAGGTGGCGAGACAAAGAAGAGAGAAAGAAGGCGAAAAGGAAATTAAAACTAGAAAAAGCGGATGAACAGGTCTGAGTTGGAGGCTTCTTCATTCTTTCAAGAGGAACCAAACAAAAAGAAAAACACAGTTTAATTTGGTGAGTCTTTCTTCAAACATAACGACTGCGTCTTTCATCATCATTAAAAATAAAACCAAATCATTAATACGTCAATTGATGTTCATAAGAATCAGACGAGATGTTGGAGATATATGAAGAGAGAGAGTATCCGTAGATGTGTAGGGCTGTGATGAAACGCCTAGTCATGTGGCAGAGTGCTAGAGAAAGACGAGATGTTGGGATGCATGAGAGAGAGAGTAAATTTTAATTAGTGTCAAATCTCAATTTATTTAAATTTTTTAATTTTATTAAAAATTAATTAAATAAATATTCATTTATCAGTTTTGAAAAAATATTTATAATTGCTAACATTCTAATTTTGTAATTTCATTCTTTAATAAGTAAAAATTTAACGTTACAAATTTTATGTAAAATGAGCTCCGTTTTTCATTTTATTTGCTTAATTATTTATTTATTATGTTGGTTTTAATCTTAAAAAAGTCCCACTTTTAGTCTATATTAACACTTTCTCTCAGCATATGGTTAATAAAACCATATATTAAATGGTAAGCTATATAAAAAACAAACTCTATAAGTCTACATCCATCGTTATTACTAAATTCCACGGTTAACTTTTTTATTATTTAATTATAATCCATATTTACCTTGATAAAAACTAACATAAAATTATTTGATATTTGTTATATGAATTGTAAAATATTGGTTATATACATTTAAAAAAAATTGAAATTTCACCTTAAAACAATAACTTAAGAGACTAAAGTGGGATTTTTTCAAGATTAATAACGACATAATAAATAAATATTTAAGAAAATAAAATGACAAAAAAGAAAACAAATATTAATTAGAAGATGAATAAAGAAATGATGAACTTCATTCAGTAAAGTACTAGTTTCATAGTATGATAGAAACACAAAAAATAAAATTAATGAAAACATGGTGGTCTTATTATGTACGTATTTTGTATCTTTATTTCTTGTAACATAAAAAACCAGCATGGAATGATCTAATCTTCACCACTACATTTCATGATTCTGTGACATACAAAATCTCTGTGGAATGAGTCATGCACTGAGAAAGCATAGTGAGTTTTCCACAAAAAAGAATGCTTTTGTACACACACTATGTTTACACAAATATTCCCTAATCTACCAAGTGGGAAGAAAAATCCATCAACTATGACTCTTGTTCATGCTTTTAAAATGACTCCTAGCCATGACAATCTCATGAACAGATCTTGAACATAAGTTGATGGCTGTTAAGGAACTCTATACAGGTTGTTCTCATGAACACTAATGACAACACTCCGCAACTCAGGAAAGATGGAAATAAGTAGAAGTTCAAGTATTGCATAAGCAAGTTGCTTCACACATATAGAAGACTACAATGAAATAGGATGCAACAATTGTCAGTTCAGAAGAAACATAAATTGTGACTAGAAAAAATGACACAAACAGAAGAAAGAGTCAACACATCAATGGAAAAGAACTTTAACCTGAGTAAAGTAATATATATCACTGGCACAACGTTTGTACTGCTTCTGACCAATTAAGCCAACTAAAGCTGCTGGAGCTCCATCTGAAAAAATGGAGGCAGCTATTATCAAAGTCTAGGTTAAGGAAAATGTTTACTTCAAATTTAAAGGTTACAAGGACCAGTAATAGAAAATAGAAAATAGAGGCATAGCAAATAAAAGTGTAGAGAATAGATGAAAAGACCAATGTTTATATTATGGTATGGCATCTTTCCTACAACCTTTCCTCCCACAGGTTCATAAAGTATGAATACTGCACTAGATAATGAATTTCAACTAATTAGTAATGCTTCACCATTACCTTATTCCTCTTACATATTTTGATGGTTGGAGAAACGGTACTTCTCATTCATCAGTAGCACTTTCAAATGACAAAAAACTATACTAGTGGCCTGAAAACTCTTTTATTATATAAATAAAATGATATATATATATATATATATATATATATATGTGTGTGTGTGTGTGTGTGTGTGTTTATGTTGTAATTAGAGGAAAATCTTCTTAATTAAGAAAATATCGTTAGAATCTTCTAGTTTATTTTTCAGTATATTATTTTTCTTATTTCCTTATTTTTGAAAGAATAGATTGTTACAAATAGGAGTAAGGAAAATGTAATAGGTATGAATGACAATAATAAAATAATTCTCCTTTTCAAGTGTTTACTTCATAGAAATTCAAAATTTTCATTTAATAAATTGGAAGAAAATATTTTGGTCATACCAAGAAGAACTAACAAACCATAATAGAGAAAGAAAATTAACAAATAAGTAAAAGATTAAAACCAAAAGATAGAAAATAAAAACTAAAAGAAAAGATAAAATAATTTTTTGTTTAGAGAAGAGTTCCTAGAATGCTAATATTAGGATTCCAAGTGTAACTTAGTGTCCTACATTAAAGAATACTTTTAAATTCATTCATTGTCTTAAGGTTTTGGATTAGAAGTAATGTCTTGGTCTCTCTTATATGTAACGCAGTTGACGGAATTTTTTTGTTCAAAGACACAGTAAAGTTAATCTCAAATTAACAAAAATGGAATCATAATTTTTGGAAGTTGGTATCTTTTGAGTACTACATAATCAAAGCTTCTAAATTCCTTTAGGATAAAGATATAAAAGAGAGAAATTTAAATAAAGTTCAAAAGAGAAAGAATATTCACCAATCCATTTATATGAACTACTTTACGATGCCAAAGAAAATACAACTAACCAAAGAGAAGTTTCTTCAAATCACTTGCTCTACGAATAGCCTCAAGCTGTAGCTCAAAAGATCCTGACTGTGATTTGGTCATCTTGCTTCCGCCAGATTCACTTATGCTTGGTAAAGGCTTTTGATCATATGCACTGCCACCAATGAACACCTGAGGGGTCTGTATTCTTAAAAAAAATGTACCACCAGGCCAGAGGATCTGCAAACATTTTGCAGACAACAAGAAACATTAGCACAACCTATTGACTACTACTTTATAATTTTTCCTTTTGGTCTGTAAACAAAATAATGGGCCTAGGATACTAAGCTAATAGGTTAGACAGATTTACAGAATTTTCCCCCCTTCTGTTTTTTTTATTTTACTTTTATATCAGAAATTATTGAAATAAAACTATAAAAGGAGGATAAGATTACACAAAAAGTCAAAATTAAAAGAGCACAAAACAAAAACTGCAAAAACAAGAGCAAACAATGACTTTAATCCAAAAAAAGCTTTCCAATCTTGCATGTCTACTAGAAACCACCTATATTCGAAGTAGAAATTGTTTGATGAATATTTGGTTTGCTCTCAACTTGAAGCAGTTTCATTTGATTAGTTTTTAGAACTTTAGAGGGAGTAAATAAAGTATAGCTAGCGTTACGTATCTTATGCACTGCTCTGATTTCTTTAGCTAGGTCCAAATTTCAGAATTTTAAGTGCAACTGTTGTCCTTTTTCTTGTATGGTACAATATTATCTCTATGGCTTCTCGGTCGAGTTGAAGACAAATTTTTGTCAACTATCTATTAACAAACAGCCACTAAAACAATACAGTACTTTAGATGTGCATATCGAATTGAGGATTGCTTGGTTGGGTGTGATCTAGTTATTTTGCATAGAAGCACTCTAGGTAAGCATACAATGTCCCAACAAAGTGTTTAAAAATTTGGATCAATTCTTACATCTTGGACCCACCGAATCCCTTGGGCAATGGTGTCCTCTCTGCGAAGCCAATGAATCTCACTTAGGATCCAATCATCAATAGCATCTTCCATCACCACCTGTAATATCTGTTTTGAAATCCAAAAGACCTGTCTTCTGCATCAACAGAAAGGGCAACTAGAAGTAGTAACCTAGCATCCTGGAAATTAATCAACAGCATCACCGCAGTTCATATATTTCTCAGTAAAATCCAATCAACCAAAATTTGGAATCTAATTACTGGTTATAAGACTTGAAGGAGTACACGTGTTAGGTTTCTTGGTGACAAGGAACCTAAATACTTTTTCAGATTAAGAATCACGACACTGAAATTACACCAGCAAGGTAGTAAATGTTTTATTTGAAATGAAAAACAGAAACATTCAACTACATTCAAGGGAAGAAATTCCCTTATACACAGTACAGAACCTGTCTGAAACAAAATACTCAACACACTCCCTAGACATGTTTTCCCCCCTTAAGAGATAACTCACAGTAGGTGTTATAACTCCCAAAGATCAAGAAGATCTTTGATAGCATCTCAAAATTATAAGAAAATAATTTCTCTCTTATTCAGTTTCATTACATACATATGATATATATGCATAATCGATTGGATAATTTAGGAAACAAGCACAACCTAATCTAGGAAACAAATCCCTAGAGATTGTGGGATTGATATGCTAGTAATAAAATCAAGATATGGTCAATATACAAAGTGAAAACCAATAAGAATAAAATCTAAAACTTCCTAAAATTTCTTGATAGAATGAAGTCTAAAACTCAGTAAACTTTAACTTGAGGGGAGTGTTAGAATATATGAAGATATCCAAAATATCTTGGTCATATGTTAAATTTTTCTTTTGGATTAGTTTCCATATTTTGTTAGATTATTGTTAGTATAAATAAGGATTTGTGCTTGAGGATCATTAAAAGTCTCTATTCTGTCCCTCAATTCTTAAATCTAAGTTCAACATCTACAAACATGCAAAGTTCCATATCTTAAATAACTCACAAAGTAGAAAAAACACATTAAGCACAAAACCATTCGAAGATTCTACTAATTTCATAAAATTAAAAAAGCTTTTAGGTAATATACAAACAATAACAGTCACCTTGGAAATATAGGAAGACCAGAAAGATTACTATACCTTAACCAGCCTCTTTTCTTAAGCTGAAATACATTGTCAACCAAATTCAAAATAGGGACAGTCACATTAGGTGGGGTCCACTGCAAAAATGGTTAATATTACGAAGGTTAATATTGTCTTCCAAACCAACAAACGGAAAGGTTAAATTGATCCAGTGGCTGTACTTTTTGAAAATATCCAAATGGGTCACATGAAGTTTGTAATTAGGACATTATAGTTTCAAAATTTTCTAATTCAGTCCTTATTGCCAGAGCACCCTTATATTGTGTTAGTGAAGGATGAATTCATGAATTCAAATTAAAAGACTGAACTTATGCTAATCTAATAATTTTTCCTCTTTTAACTTATAACAACTATATAAAAACTCTTCATATTCTTCTAATTTCAAAAAACAAATTAATTGGATGCTTCAAGTTGGAAAACTAGTAACCATGGGGCCTTGATTGAAGAATTTTGATATTATAGGGATCAATTAAGCAATCTAAATAATGAGCATTCAAAAACCTTTCAATGTAGGAATGTATCTGCATATTCTCTATAATGAGTATAGGGTCCAATCCGACAAGTTTATTTAACAAAAAGAAAGTAATCATCAAAGAATGGATGTCAAGATCCTGTTTGGCAGAGTCACAAGACTTTTGTCTTGCTTTGTTCTGGTTCACAAAAAACGGTTCCTTCCTTTAGAACAATGTAGGGCTCCCAAATATTTTCTCAGAGCACACAATTGTTTGACCACAGTTATCATCTTTATTTAACAATAAAAAATTATTGGAAATAGCATCCTATATAAAGATTCTATAGGAAAATTGTCTTAATTATGGACATCCCTAACCCACCATATTTACAGCATCTTTAGAGATTACGAAAACTGAAACCTCAATGGTGGGTGGTGGTTTCGTCCCATATCCACTAGGGATGTGGCTTAAACAGAACTTTTAAAGTTTGGGATGTTCTCACTTTAAAAGTTGGTTCGATGGGGTTAAGTTAAATTTTAAAACACTTTCTAAGATGTTATCAAAGTTTATCCTAGGTTCATTGTTGAGTCATTAGCATTTGCCAAATCCACGCTAGGTAACCCTGGTGTCATGAGGAGTGATGGAAAGTTGTTTCAATTGCAAAAACCCCTAACCCACCTTATTTGCAACCTTAAGTTGGCCTAAATAAAGTTTATAAAGCTTGGGAAGTTCTCACCTTAAAAATTGGTTGTGGGATTGAACTAGGCTCCACCACTACTTTCTAAGAGATTCCGTAAAAAAATAGGCTTATTGAAGTTCAAAAACTTGAGAGGGTATGCAAAAACTAAGATGCTAGATAGTGGTTGCTCTTAGGATATAAGGAGAAGGAGAAATTAGTTAAGATAGATGTAATATTAATGGGTTAGTTAGTTAATTAGTTAGTTAGTGGGACAGTTGGTACAAGTAGAGGTAGGAGGATAGGAGAAATTTAAATTGGTTCTCTTTAGAAATTGAGCATTGGCTCTTTGGGTGAAAGGATAAATCCTTAGTGAAGGGGAAACCCTTGGGGGTAAGAATGTTGTACTATTTCTTGTTCTTTTAATTTGTTTCCTTTCTCATTTCAATTATTGGTTCCTAACAAATTGGTATATCCTGCGAATCTTTGGGGAAGAGTCGTTGATACAGATAATTTGGGCAAAGGGGAAGCTGCTAGTGTTTGTGGAGGTAGATCCAATTGGGAGGATTGCTAGGCCAAAAAATTGAGAAACAAGAAATTCATTCATTTCGTAAGTTGTAATATGCATTCCCAAGCATGGAGGATGTGACAATTCGTTGGTTGGTTATTAGTGCCAAGAGAACCCAAATTCCAATCAGGAATCATTTTCCACATATTTGATCAGAAAATCGGGAGATATCTATGGTAGCCACATCTTTGAAAGATTGACTACCTTGAAGCAAGAGCAAGCTGAGATGGAACTTGAATCGAGACTTTGATGGTGTTCTTGAAAGAGAGTACATTTCAAAGCTAAAACACATGTTGCTCAAGACATTGAATGAAGAGGGTGATTAATATTTGACCAAGCAATACAAAAATAGAATGAAGGGAATTGGGTCAAAATGTATTGAAGCAAAGGCTAGTTCTTGGGCAAGAAATGCAGAAGTAACCACCTTTAATAGAAGCATAGAAGGGGGAACTGATTCAAAGATCAGCAGTTTTGAGTATGATGGTGGTTAATTACAATTCTTCAATTCACAAAGTAGAAGTAAAGAAGGTTCAGTAATCAAGAATCACACTCTTGTGGTGGAGAAGAAAGCAAAAACAATGAAGCAAAATTAGCAAGGAAAACAAATATTACGATGAAAGCAAAAACTGATTTTTTTTTCTTCCTCCTGTATTATTGGAAGGAGGAGTCATTCTCCTTCTTTTTCCCTTAAAGGAAGATAAAGACCAACACTAGTACAGTAATGTTGTACAGTTTTCACTATAATCATTAATCTAAAGGTTACCCCCCAACTTTACCATGTAGGCATGACCCCAAAGAGAATAAGCAGCAAATGCATAACTTAAACATGCATCAAAAAGTAACCGCAAACCAAATATCTCAATCAACAAGTGTGATATGCAAAACAAAAAGAAGATCAAATCCAGCTGACTACAGACCTCTGGTGGAACTCCAACTGGATCCTCCATATTATCAGGAATTGGATTGAAAGTTGTAGCTGAAACATCCTTTCCAACCTTAGCTTCCATTGCTACATCATGTTTTCTATCTAGATCCAAGTTAGTACATTCATTACCATGGTTTGTTAGCAGTTGTGAATCTTCCTTTAAGCTAAATTCATTGTCAGAATTCGACTCATTATCTTCTGCTTCTTTATCAATATTTTCATGACCAAAATTAACTTCCTTTTCACCTTCCTCATTATCAGAGCTTAACACGGACTCTGCAGTAGTCTGCCTTGGAACACTTTTATCCATCTCATCCATGCTCCAGGACATGTTTTGATTGGTCGACGTGGAAGAAATTTCAGTAGTAGGGGATGATGAACCAACAACTTTTCGAATTAAACCATCTGAAACACCTTTAAACTGCCGTACAATATCATCCACAGCATCATCTACATTGACTGCCAGTATAAAAAGATTGAGCATTATGGCAGGAACTCATTTACTAATAACAGAAAAAACTGGAATAAAGCTTGTAAGAATATGTAAAATTCCTTAATTAAACAGAAACAGAAAAAAAAGATAGAAACACCAGTAGATCGTTACTGGTTAACTAACCTCCCTTTCCAAAGGGCCAAAAACCTAGAGACATTTTCTTGCTTAATTACTACTAGCTGTTCCTCACATTTACATCACTCCGCAAATCAATTTTCTTCCCTCTCCTCATTTGCAATTGTAACATAAGCATTCATTTATACAGGACTTGAGTATGTCCCATTTTGTTCTCTTATGTCCTTACCTGCAAGTGCTAATTCTCTATTTCTCATCCTCTAACTAGTAGATAGGGGTGCAATAAATCATGGGGCACAAGAAAAATAAAACAGAACACAGAAGAAAAATCTATACATGGAAAAACCTTTACTAATAACAATTAAGTTCAACAACTTATGCTTAAATGTTGGTGTTAGATATTTCCGATTCAGTTTATTATATTTCTGTTATTAAAGTTATTAGATGTAACTGTCAGAAAATAAGACTTTTTTAGATACTCTAAGATCTTTCTTTTTTCTTGTTTGTTAAGTCTTATTACCTTGAAATTAATTATGAACCATGTTTTGTGTGAAAGTTGGTTGTTTAGACAGTGGTTAGGAGAGAATGAATGGTAGCATTTATTTCTTGCAAATTTACATCTCTCTTATGAATTAATGAGAAACATTTTGTAACACATAAGCTACTGCACTCAGAATATTGAAAAAGATTCTGTCTCCCTTCTTCCATCGTCTATCTTCACAAGAAAAACTCTTTTCTCTGTTTTCTATCTGGTTTTACAACCTTTATGTTTTTTTTTTCTAATTTCATAACATGGTATCAAGAGCCCATTGATTTTTGATGGGCTGTGCGGGAATGAAAACCCGTGGGAAAGTCGTACACAAACCAGAAAAGAAAAAACACACACGAAAGGATGGCATCAAGCAGCAGTTCTTTACCTCCACATCCTATTTTTGTAGGAGAAAATTATGATTTGAGGGATGCAAAAATGAGAACTTTTTTGAGAGCTCAAACTCACTGGGAAATGGTGGAAAATGGAACTAATCCAGCTCCTTTACCAGACAACCCAACAGTGGCTCAAATAAGATTCCATGGTGAAGTTGCAAATAAGATTCCATGTTTAATTGTGATCCAACTGTGCCTAAGTGACTATAGCTTGTTAAGTTAAATGTACTGAAAAGAAAAAGGATACAGTGAGACCAAGTGTATCTTGGGAGTATACTTAATACTCCCCCACATTATCAGCCATGGTAAGTCTTAGAGTGTATGTGAGAGGAGACCATGCTAATCTATCACTACTTCTACAACTAAAAGAGGTAAAATTAACAATTCTGATTCTTCATTGATAATAGTGGAACGATGCAACATATATATAACAAATGCATACCTTCAAACAGATTCCTAACAAACTTTATTCTACCAAAATGCGATATTACCTATTGAAAGACAGAAGAAAAAGGATATTAATTCTCTCTATTGGGCCTCAAATAGTAGATAATTTGTTACACATTTCAAGGAGAAGAATAAGGATAGACGAAATAAACTTTTCCAAAAACTAAAAGTAACTTATGCAAAAGTTAAAAATGATCTCTTATAAAAGTTAAATCGAGGTAACTTCCATAAATTAACTTATGTAGTGTCAGATTTCATCATAAAACTAATTGACACCAAGCAAGGTTGCTCACTCCAACAAATGAGGTAGCCGATGTGAGATTTCTCAACATGCACAAAATAATTTTAGCCTATAGAGAAACTTATTTCATTTTTCCTTTTTATTTCTCTCCAAGAAGTGTTTATGAAGACCTATTCCAAACAGACCCTTAGTCAAGATATTAGCATATTGGACAAAAGCAGTAGCATGAAATAATATACCTAGCACTTAAACAAATATGTAAAAAGTCCTAAATGTTTTATCGATATATACCTGCCAGGGTCCTCATCATTGAAGAAGATTTCCCAAAGGAGTAGTTCTTCAAGTGAAAAAAAGGAAAGAAAAAGGTGCTTAGATTACCATTTTCCACATCTTTATGGACCATAAGAAAATGATATAATGGTCCTTATCTAATGTTACGATGAGAAATACGAAGCAGATACAAACCTTTGAGGAAACACTCAAAAAGTCCCACACCTCATGTTGTTCAGCAATATTAGCTATTGATAGGAGATCCTGAAGTAAGACAGTATATTTGATGTAAAGATATAGATGTTAAGAAAACACATCAAATAATATTGAGGATTGTAGAAAGTGACTCAAAATACCTGGAGATATTTATCAAACTGAATGCAACGCTGATAGACAAATGCATCGTCTATGCTTGAGGAAAATATCCTTTTAGGAGGCAAATGTAGCAAATAATTGGGAATATCTTTTAGATGTCGATGCAATCGCTCAAAATTCCTGTATCTGAAATCACCTAAAAAATGTTCAGTGATGTTGAAGCACAAATATAAACAAGGAACAAAGCAATTTTGGAACTATCACATGTATTCCCTAATTTAAAAGGTCGGTTTAAACTTCAAAATAGGGAAAGAGATGGTTTAACAAAAAATCATTGAGTGTTCCTAATATACTACTGTATGGTTAAAACATTAAACCCAAACATTACAATTTACAACCAGTATAAACCCAAGTAAATCTGTCTGAAATCATCCAAATTCAAACAAACATAACTTGTGCGCTCCGATAAATGAATGAAAGTAAAACCTCTACCTTCTTCTAACAAACCAAGTTTTCTCTACACCATCAGTCACTGCAATTGAATATACAGCAAAAGAAGTGGATCCTAGTTTCTCAAAATATGCTCCCATAACCTGTAGTGTGCAAGTAGACAACAATCAAACTAAATAAAAGCATCCACAGAAAAATATCCCATCTACCACGGCTTGAATCCCTTCGAATTTGTAAGAGTGAGCGTTATATAGGTTCTGAGTTGACTTACATTTTACATAGCATAAATCAAAAGTTGCAACAATATCGAACAAATGTGCATACCCGGCACCGAAGCTTTGGAAGAAAATGTCCGTCTCTTCTCATAACCATTTCAGAACCACTCTTTCCCCTATATCCCTCACCATGTTTCTCGGATTCAGGGTTGTGGACCTCTGACCTTGGGGAGCTTACCTTAAGAAGAGGTTGATTTCCCAGGAGAGAAGCACTGTTGGATCTCTTTAGATCTTTAAATTTTTTAGAAGGGATATCCCTGATATCCTTCCCCTCATCAACATGATGGTCTACTTCAGAACAGAGTTCCTTGTCAGGATCTGGTGAAGACTCTGACCTATTTGTGCCTACAACATTTAGGTGTGGATCTGAACCCACATAATGCATTGCACACATTCCTTCTGGAATTGCATCAATAGCAGGACACTTCACAGAAGGGTCCTGAGAGCCGGTTTTGGTACTTTTATGCTGTTTTCGTCTATAATTCCTTCCTCTTGCCCACATGTTCTCCAGATTCTCAGGCATAAGAACTTCAGTTCTTCTCTGAGTTGCAGCCTCCAGCATTTGTGCCCAATCAGCAGAGGCTGTCTGATTATCATGTCCACCCCCAGTACCAGAATGGCCATGATTATGAGTTGTATTGGCTGAATGTTCACAGACCCCCATCCAATTTATACCATCATCATTAAGGACAAGTAGAAGGGATTCAATCAGCTCATTGATATACCTGATCATTAAGAGAAATGCATTTTTAAAGGAAATTGGAATAAATTAGTTAAATGTCATTGAAATTTCAGTTTTAAATAACCAGTGACAGGTTTTTCTTTTAATCAAAAGAAGTAGTGCTATTGCATCACTATACAGGTTGCAATCCTAGCCAAGATAGCAGTGCAACCTGTACAATCATATGCAGTATTCTTAATACAATAAAAGAAGTGCAAAAGTGAGGAGACAAAACCAAAACCCACTAAGACAATCTGTAATGTGGGAAACCACATCTATCTTTACAAAAATCAGAGACAATACAAAGAGGCACTGTACAATACTTGTGCATTAAAATGTTTTCAATTGATTACACTAGATAGCGCCTAATATCTTTTTTTCTTGGATTAATAGACAATATATTTTAGGCTTTTAATTAGATATTAAACTAGCCAACTTGAGAGTTTAACAAAGGTAACATGTACTTTCATTCACTCTCGGTCTCCCAAACAAACAAAACCACATTTGAAAGGCGGGACATATTTTATTCATCAAAGAGGGCCCTCCAAAATAGTAAATATTAGTTAAAATTTATGTTGTACACAATGGTATTATTAAACATATAAATTTTCCATACATATGATCTGCACATATTATTATCATACTATAGTTGATAATTGATCATAGTTGACTTGTTTTAAGTCAGTTTTTTGTATTCTGTACAGCAGTGTATGCTTTACTATACTTTTCTTTCTTTTATATGTACAGCTGTAAGTTCCTGTTAGTATTAACAGAAACCTGACTTTTATAAATAGCTATCATGTACATATTTCAAACTGTTCAGAAATCAATAAATAGTTTCTTTCATTGCTCATATTCTCTCTTTTCTCTCAGCTCAAGTTATCTAAGGTCACATCCATTTTAATTATGCTATTAGATACTTGCTGTGCTGGTCACTTGTTAAGTTGTATACATGTAAATCCTTGTGTCAACATATCTACATTTGTTAAGTTATTCACATTAATTTAGACATTTCTCTTTGATACAACAATTGTGTAAGATGACTGATAGGACACCCAAATCTATTATTTCAAAAAGGACGCACAATTATTAGATGGGATCATGGGCACAACACATTATATTCTTCTTCTTATGCATACTTAAAGAGCGATTTTTCAACCCAACTCTTACTACCCTATAGTCCATAATATATCCTCTCGGTCATGATCTTCAAATTTTTTGACTAGCTACTGCCAGGACGTACCAATAACACATACTTCGATCTACTCTTTCTTATTTCAACCTTGAAACTTATCAACCGATAGCCAGAACAAAACCATGGTAGGAACTATGAAGGTTTTTCATGTCCCATATATATCAAGTCTGATCAGAAACCTCACCCCTAAAAACAGACAAACTTTAAGAATTTCAGATTAAATATTGGCAAAGGAAACTCTTCAACAGGTTATGAATTGTTAAGGTCCACCTCCCTGACAAGAAAGACTTAAAGGAAGTGAAATTTAAGACAGAATTCAACTTACGCAGGGCTTGCCAAGTTCATGATCGGTTGCAATATCAAACAAGTTAAAAGTTCCCGAGCTATACATCGAATGACAGGACATTGAACTTCTCGTTTTCTCAGTACCGTAGCTAATAATCCACTCGTTAGCCTCTGGAGAACCTAAAGAAAGAAAAATCTCATCAAATGAGGTATGAGATGTAATTTGCGAAAGTAAAAATTAGACAACATCTAGACACTCCACCCACACCTTGTACTCACTCTCTGGAGATATTAGAGCTGGATGAAGCTCCTTAGAATTCAACAGATGAAACTTCAATCTTTCATCCCTCTCCTCAGAAGATAAGGTTAACATGACATCAACACCGATAGCATCTTGATTTCTTCTGAAAAGGTCTATATGATCCCCTACTAAATCAACTATGTCCCTACAATTATAAATGACAAATAACACAACCAGTGATTTTGTTTATTTAAAGAGGGGTAAAGAGGGGACCGAATAATAAAAGAGGGGTAAATCATGTACCTCATGAGCAAGTCAACAAGGTTTATCTCTTTAACCCTCACTGACACTTCAGAAATAGCGTCCATGATTAAGTCTCGTATCAGCTCAGGAAACTCCATATCTGGAGTAAGGTCTGAATACCACATATTTATCACGAAATCCTTCAAAATCAGATCAATGAAATCATTCAAGGCAGCCTCCACAACAGGAGAGTCAATCTTCTTCCATTTGGGAGGGGGAGGTGAAGAAGAGAGTCGTTCATCATTCAGAGGCAGCTGATTTTTCTCCAAATGAGATAAATAAGTTTGTAATCTTGGTGGCTGAACCTTCCAACGGAATTCCACCTTGTTCAAAAGAATGCGCAGAGCAGCAACAAACAGAATGGACATGGGAAGATTCATCCACATAGATTTACTTGTATCTGTGATGAGCAAACAATTACAACAACAAATAAATAAAAACTGGCAGTCTTAAGAACATAACCCCGATAATGAAATAACAAACATAGATAAAACAAGTACCGGATAAGAAAATGACAGGTATCAATCAAAGACTCTAAGTTTGCAGTTTTGAGGTAAAACTTCACTGGAAAAATGACAAAAATTAGATGCAATTCCACGAGTATTTTTAGTGTTGTTCTCTTATCAGAATAGAAGTTTTGCTTAAATAATCCGCATAATAAAAACTTCCCATTGAAGATCAGCATAACTTACCAAGTTCAAACTCAAATTCTGATTGAACTATCACACCAAAAGAACTTAATGGTATGCATGCATCTAAGTTTTTCTCCAAGAAAAATGACAAGTCTGAATCACCGTCTCTACATTTGAAATCTTAAGGCAAAACCCAGATGGGAAATGCCAAGTTTTCAACCGAAGACTCAAAATTTGGGGTCTTGAAGCAAACCATAGATAGAAAAGCAGCAGATACAACATCAAGGAATCATTGTTAATGTAAATAAAAGAACATGATGGAAATAGGAATAACTTACGAGTGAAGAAATAGGAAATGGCGAATATACAAAGAGCCCACCAGAGAAGACGGAGCTTGGCCTCTTCAATGAGATCATTGATGATGTCCATCATGGGTGTGGGCGTTAGAGGACCCATCGTGTTCCTTCTGTAACTAAAAGCGAACACCTTGCCACTTTCAAATATGGCATGGCAATTTCACAGCGACAACCTCGCTATCTTTGTTCGGTTTCAGTTTGTTGGCTATTTCTATATCAGCTTATACTAATAAGCTTGCCATAATAAATTATGGCTTTTTTATTAATTTAAATTTGAATTTAAATTTTGGAATTTATCTAGAGTATAATGAAATTCAATGGATTTCTCATTGTTGTTTTCTACACTATATAAACATCTATATCAGTCCTTTTCATTCCATAAGAAATGTCCTTTAGAAAAAAATCATTGTAATATTTGTTAGTGTAGAAAGAAATTTTAGGGTATACGTATACAAAAAGCAACCAATCTATTATTATCTTCCGTATAAAAAGCTTTCTTATTAATTTTTAATTTAAATCAAAAGTATAGAATTTAACTAAAGTATAATGAAATCGAATGTGTTTCTCATTCTACTTTCTATAAAATTCTATCATTACTCCTTCTTCACTATGAATATTATGAGATGCAAGAAATGCATCACCAAAATCTTTTAAAAAATTTGCAATTGAGGAGGTAAAACCAGGGATTCAGTAGCTGTGATAGTGCATCAGTCTTTTTATTTCATGTTTGTTGGATAAAATATTATATTTTTTTAATGACCTATTATTGGGAATGAACACTAATCTCCCAAACATCTTTTTTAGTTTGAGTTTCTAGTTTTTCTACTCCTTTTAAGTTTGAGTTTATGCTTTTTCTCTTTTTTTTTCCTTTTTCTACTTTTGTTTTCATTTAAATCTGATTCTTTTTCATCAAGGATGATGTGAAAACCTTTTTTCTGGTTGGTGAAAGTTATGTTGTTAATAAGACCGTTATGCATGGATTTCTTATCATGTGATGGTCTTTTGATATGATTTGTTTAGAAAATAGTTAGATTACTTCTAAATTTGAATATCTGAGAATAACGATACGAAACTCAGAAAAAAAAAACTCTAAAAAGAAAGAATTGAATAGAGTTTTTTAAAAAGTTCGTAAATATACGTTAAATACATCAAAGTCTTTAGGAAAATGTATATAAAAAAAATAAAACAAACTTGTTTTTATACGGGTTCACTCAATATGAAATATATCTAATTATTCTCTAAAAATTCTTAATGGATTCCACTAATATTTTCAAAGATTATGAATTTCACCGCTTTTGGTTTATTACTATCAATTTGAATATACGAGTTATTCACTCATGTTTCAACATTAATTAATAAATGTGTTTTGAAAAAACAAGTATAAACCAAAGTTCTCAAGGATAATATGTTTTCAATATAATGAAATATGTAGACTTGTAAAATCTTTTATTAAACAAAGAAAGCGTTAAGATATAAGTTAATGATCAATTCTTCTTCTTATATTCATCTAGTTCTCTTTATATAACCTTCTTTGAGAAAGATTTGTTGCTTAAAGAGAGTTAACTTCGAAGAAAGTATGTATCTTCAAATACGAAGTTAGGTGCTCGATAACATTAGAGCAATAATGTTTTTTACGAAGGTGACGTGTACGACTTCTGCATAGAAAAAAACATTAAAAAAACGTTCTAAGAATGTCTTTCTATCTCTTAACATTTTTTTGATGTTGTATAGACTTTTAAATAAAGTTTGGTGTTGTCATAGTATAAAAAGAGATAAAGTATCCCATATAAACAAGTAGTGTACTAAGTATTTAGGTATAAGTTTGTTATTTTAAGTATAACATAGTTTTTACAAGGTGTATCGTTTAATAAAAGATTAGATATAGGTCAAGCAAAAGTCGTGCCTATTGGGAAGAAGTTTGAAAGATAAAGCAAGTCCAGATGAAAAACAACCAAATGCTACTAAAGCAAATGGAGAGGTGTTCGAAGACCAAGGAAATGTTAAAAATGCTACGGAGAATAGCAACCTTGACAAAGGGAATAACAACATTCAAGCAAATGCAATCAGGGACATTTTTGTCTCCAACCCTGACGTTTACGGCGGCTCAGAAAGGCACAGTGAGACGAAGGCTTGAATAGGAGATACAGTGCTGGCGACGAAGCATGATGGTGAGAGAAACCTTGAAGGAAAAGATTGTGCCGATGTCGTCAACGACACCAATCGTGGCCACTGTTACATGACTATCCGTACCTATTTCGTTTAAAATATATATCCTCTGATTTTGCATTAGTCTTTATATATCTAATAGGGGTTATAGATAAAATGTAAGCTTGATTTTATTGGTAAGTTGGCAAATTTGCAGCGAAAATTAAGAAAGTAGACAAAAAGAGTTTTTTAAAAAAATTACAGCCTATGAGTAAGTTAATAATTAAGAGTAAAAATTAAGTAAACTTTCCTTGAAAGTTTTCATAATTATATTTTATATTTCTCTCTATATGAGTTCGTTAATTACTGTTTCTCTTTTATTTCAACGGTTATGCTACTTTTTAATTGGAATATATTCTTTTTTTCAACTTTGTTGCTAGATACTCTCTGGTTCCCTGAATGAAAATAATTTTAGTCTTCTAACAAAATTTCCAACTGGAAAACATTCTCAAATAAAGTATCATTTTCCCTCTCTAACTTATTCTCAAATTAATTACTTTATTCATAAAGTATTTATAATTTTTTTATAAGTTAATCTATTTATAGAAAAATAAATATGGTATTCTTTAAAACATAAAGTATTTATATTTGTTTATAAACTATATGAATAATAAAAATGTCACTAACAAATATGTTTAGTGAAACCAATACTCCTTGCCAAAGAGTTATACCATATATATACCTACATTTTTCTATAACCCTAATTAGGTATATATAAAGACTAATGCAACATTAGTATTAGTTTGTTGAAGAAGGACCAATTCAATGAGTTTATTATTATTATCTAAGCATCATCACAACGTACATGCTTTCTAAATATGCATGCAACGTTCAAAATTTGTGGTCATAGTTTAGAGAGAATCCATAGTATTCGGAAATAAAGCTAGAAAGAAGCTATGATTTTTCACAAACCTTGTTTTCTACATCTATATATATAATGCATTCTTCATTGATCTCATCATCAACCTTCAGCCTTGGGCCATCCAAGGGGGTCAGATATGGCTCACCGTTGTTCAAACAAGGCCCTTCTTTTCATTTTTCTTTCTCTTTTTTCAACCTTTTCAAGTGCTCAACTTCTTCCTGAAATCATCCACGTTGAGCCAATTTATTCAACTAATGTTGAAGATGACGCACTACTAGCCCCAGCCCCAGCACCCGAAATAGAATTCCGAAACGATGAACCCCTTACTCCACCACCAACTAGAAAAACAAATGAAAGACTGAAGAAGGCCTATGTTGCTTTTCAGGCATGGAAGAAGGCCATTCACTCCGACCCTTTGAACATCACCGGGAACTGGGTTGGTGAAGATGTTTGCTCTTACAATGGTGTGTATTGTGCTCCTGCCCTTGATGATCCCACCCTGAATGTGGTTGCTGGCATTGATCTGAACAATGCAGACATTGCTGGGAGCCTCCCAGAAGAATTGGGACACTTGGAAGATATTGCACTTTTCCACATTAACTCCAACAGATTCTGCGGTGTTATCCCAGAGAGCTTGCTGAATCTTACACTTGTGCATGAGTATGACATCAGCAACAATCGCTTTGTTGGTCGGTTTCCTTCTGTGGTCCTCACATGGCCGAACTTGAAGTACCTGGACCTCAGATTCAATGACTTTGAAGGACCCTTACCCCCAGAGCTTTTTGAGAAGGATCTTGATGCAATCTTTTTGAACAACAACCGTTTCTCATCCCTCATTCCAGACACCATAGGAAAATCCAACGCCTCGGTCATCACCTTTGCCTACAACAATTTCAAAGGCTGCATTCCGAGCTCTTTCGGAAACATGAAGAACTTGAACGAGATTGTGTTCGTAGGAAACAGCCTCGGAGGATGCTTCCCACAGGATGTTGGAAAGATGGAAAACCTGACGGTTTTGGATTTAAGCGACAATGGGTTTGAAGGGACTCTTCCTAACTTGTCAGGACTGAAGAAGGTCGAGGTGATAGACATTTCGCACAACAAGCTCAGTGGATATGTGTCTAACACTGTGTGCCAACTTCCTTCCTTGAAGAACTTCACATTCTCTCACAACTACTTCAATGGAGAAGCTCAGAGTTGCGTGCCTTCACCCAATTCGTTGGTGGCTATGGATGACTCATACAACTGTTTGTCTGGAAGGAAGGATCAGAAGTCATCCAAGAAGTGCTTGCCAGTGCTAACTCGCCCTGTGGATTGCAACAAGCACTGTGGAGAAGGCAAAGAGAATGGCCATAGCCCTAGCCATAGCCATAGCCATGCACCAAAGCCAACTCCATCTCCTAAACCTGAGACACCAAAGGTTGTACACTCTTCACCACCTGTACATTCACCACCACCACCACCACCAGTTCAATCTCCACCACCTCCAGTACACTCCCCACCACCTCCTCCAGTTCACTCTCCTCCACCTCCCGTTTCCTCACCACCTCCACCGGTACACTCCCCACCACCTCCTCCTGTCTCCTCTCCACCTCCACCAGTTCACTCCCCACCACCTCCTCCCGTCTCCTCTCCACCTCCACCGGTACACTCCCCACCACCTCCTCCTGTCTCCTCTCCACCTCCACCGGTACACTCCCCACCACCTCCTCTCGTCTCCTCTCCACCTCCACCGGTACATTCCCCTCCACCTCCTCCTGTTCACTCCCCACCACCTCCCGTTTTCTCACCACCTCCTCCTCCCGTCTCCTCTCCACCTCCACCAGTACACTCCCCACCACCACCTCCTGTTTTCTCACCACCTCCTCCAGTTCACTCCCCACCACCACCACCAGTCAACTCTCCACCTCCACCAGTTTATTCCCCACCACCACCAACACCAGTTTCCTCCCCTCCACCACCAGTTGCCTCTCCACCACCACCAGTTCACTCTCCTCCTCCACCAGTTTCCTCCCCACCACCACCAGTGTACT